GATCAGTACTTATAGCTGGGTAGTAGTGTGATCTACTTACTATACGGTAAACAGACCGTAATCGATCCAGTTACGTGTAGCTGGGGTAGTTAGTGTGATCTTACCGTATATAACGGTAAACAGACCGACTCGATCCAGGTAACTTATAGCTGGGGTAGTTAGTGTGATCTTACCTTATATAACGGTAAACAGACCGAATCGATCCAGGTAACTTATAGCTGGGGTAGTTAGTGTGATCTTACCTTATATAACGGTAAACAGACTGAATCGATCCAGGTAACTTGTAGCTGGGGTAGTTAGTGTAGCTGGGGTAGTTAGTATGATCTTACCGTATATAACGGTAAACAGACCGACTCGATCCAGGTAACTTATAGCTGGGGTAGTTAGTGTGATCTTACCTTATATAACGGTAAACAGACCGAATCGATCCAGGTAACTTATAGCTGTGGTAGTTAGTGTGATCTTACCTTATATGACGGTAAACAGACTGAATCGATCCAGGTAACTTGTAGCTGAGGTTGTTAGTGTGATCTTACCTTATATAACGGTAAACAGACTGAATCGATCCAGGTAACTTGTAACTGGGGTAGTTAGTGTGATCTTACCTTATATAACGGTAAACAGACCGACTCGATCCAGGTAACTTGTAGCTGGGGTAGTTCGTGTTCCTTTTCTCTATCCATCAGAGCCTGCAAAAATTAGATGTTAGTGTCAGAAACCTGTTGATAAGACCTTACGTTAAATTAGATACGTGATTATACCTGACATGTCATCAACCTAGTTTGGCTGACTGGGCATGACATTAACGTAATTAGTTGATGGGACCTGATATTAACCTAGCTAGTTGAGAAGACCTGACATTAACTTTGTTATCTAATGACACCTAAAAATTAACTTTGTTATCTAATGACACCTGACATTAACTTTGTTATCTAATGACACCTGACATTAACTTTGTTATCTAATGACACCTGACATTAACCTATGTAGGCTGATGAAATAAACTACTAATGTATTTGGTTGTTACTTTAAGCTATGATCATCATGTCATTGTGTCTAATAAGTTTTATATGAACATAGCAAGACTCGTGGGTTTTGTAGTTCTGGAGGAGTGTTTTGATAGACAAACCTGAGGCTGAATTTTCAATTGCAGCTTCTCTTTGTCGCCTTGATCAAAAAATTCGTCAGTTACCAATTTTGCAACCTAAGATAAAAAAAAACAACAAAATATCATATTTCAGCTAAAATAAAAAACAAAATATCATATTTTAGCTAAGATAAAAAACAAAATATCATAATTTAGCTAAGATAAAAAAAACAAAATATCATAATTTACCTAAGATAAAAAACAAAATACATATCTTAGCAGGTATGTAATTCACTTAATGCATGTTGTATATATGCAGTTATAGCTTGTCTGAACTGACTAACTTATTCAGTTTCCTGTTCTTGTTCCTGATGAGCAGGTTTTCATTTCTAAAGATTCAAAATATGTTCATTCTGATAGTGAAAAATTCATTATACAGTCTAGTGCAGACAGGACCATAACATTAAGGTTTGAGGTTAAGATTCATTATACAGTCTAGTGCAGACAGGACCATAACATTAAGGTTTGAGGTTAAGATTCATTATACAGTCTAGTGCAGACAGGACCATAACATTAATTTTGATGTACAAGATTCATTATACAGTCTAGTGCAGACAGGACCCTAACATTAAGGTTTGAGGTTAAGGACTCATTATACAGTCTAGTGCAGACAGGACACTTGTTTCTGTGAAATTGTTATTCTTTTAATTATGGTAACTTTTTACATCTGAAGAAATTAAGTTTGAAATTATTGTAGCTGAGTACAGTAGGTTTTAAATTGCAGTAGAAACTGATGGAGATAGTTTAACAGATGTAGTAATACCTGATAGTACGTTATCACCACGGTTTAACAGGTGCAAAAATACCTGTAAGAATATATAAGGTTTACATATAAATCGATTAATGACCACTGCTTACCCTGTGCTGGATTGACCACGGTTTAGTACAGGCTCCAAGGTCACAGGCTGTCATTAACATGCTCTTCAGGACGTCTCGGTGTTCCTCTTCTTCCCAATGATATTGTGCATTGTCTACCAGGGTGAAAAACTTGCTTCGTAGTCTGTGCGACGAAACATTGGAAAGAATAATTAATATTAAAGAACACTAATTACTAAGTAAGGTTGGTTCGTTAATCTTACATAATGTTAATCAAGGTTAAAACGTTGGCAAAAAACGTTAGTCTTACATAATGCTATTCAGTTAAACAAGGTTGAAACTTTAGTCTCACATACTGCTATTCAGTTAAACAAGTTTGAAACGTTAGTCTTACATAATGCTACTCAGTTAAACAAGGTTGAAACGTTAGTCTTACATAATGCTATTCAGTTAAACAAGGTTGAAACGTTAGTCTTACATAATGCTATTCAGTTAAACAAGGTTGAAACGTTAGTCTTACATAATGCTACTC